GCGCGCGGGGCTGTGGCGCATGGATTGGTGTCACGCCTTGTGGCGGCGGGTACGAGAATGGCGAGTGCTGCAGCGGCGGCGCCGCACCCCCTGATCGCAGCTGCGCCTGCCCATTCCGAACAATCGCCTCTGATGACGACGCTCCGGCCATCTGCGCGCGATCGAGTTGTTGCGGAAGTGATTGTACTTGCAGTCTATGTGAAGTGTGGTCAGCGTCATGAAGAGGGGTGAAAGATCAGCCACAGACTTTGGTGGAAATGAGCGCATGTCCTCTGGTCGTGGCGTGCTAGGATTGAATGGCGCAGATCCTGACACTGGTGATGTCAATACAGGTGTCCGCCCACTCGCCTTCAATCGCATGTATGTGTCACACTTCTTCAAGAATTCTTTGCTCGGCAGATCCAGACTGTTTGCAAAGTACTCTTGATCCTGCAAGATCGGCAGGAATTCTGCTGGTACACAGTAGAATTCGTCCTGATTTTCTAGCAGGGCTGTGACCACCCGAATGGCTCCGAAACTCTCGTCCCGGACAGGATCTCGCCCACGAGAATACAGAATGTTGGGACATATGACCGTCGCCAGATTTGGCAGGTCCATCTTGCTCCCTGTCTCCGTGTCCAGATGCGCAAAGGAAGCGACCCATTTCAAGAACACGAAAAGAACTTCCATTGTATCTCTATGTGCTTTGGGTAAGAGAAGGCACACCATGTGTAGCATCCGCGCCCGCTCTGCGTCCGATGGGAGATCTGATGCATGGCAATCAACATAAATAGTGTTTATGAACTACAAAGACCTACTTCTAGACGCTATAAATAAGCGATGCAATTTGAAAGTCATGAGAGGATCTGGTAGTTCACGGAAGAACTTCTTCAGGAGAGCCGCCAGCTGCACAGGATTATCCTGCGTAAGATCGACAGCAGAAGGATCTCGATCAATAGCTTCGACCAGTTCTTTGAGTCGCCGAATGTTACCATTGCGCCGGAAAATGCCCTCGATCGACATATCTAACAACGACAACAATGAGTAGATTTCAGACCAATACTGTATTGATGCTTACCCATCTGACGCATGGCAGATATAACGTCATCGACAAAGCTAGGAATCTTGACCGGTCTGCGCGACGCTCCGAGCAGTGAGTCTGCGCCTTCCCTCTCGACAAGCAGTTCAAGTGGTATACCAAATATGCCTGGGATAATGGGTTAGTTAACGCGACGGGTTGGCATCGCCATTCACTTGCCTTTCTTCTTGACATTCTTTTTGTCGTTTCCCGGCTTAAATAGCTTGCCCCAGAAGGAGTTTTTCTTGACTTCCACCATCTCCAAAATTTCATCGAGATCAAACTGGTCTTTCAATGATGATCGATGAAGCACGAGAACGGCACAATACTTGACAATCGCCAGTTCCAAAGTGCTCAGCTCCGCAATAAATGGCACCGAACTTTGTCGCGGCAGTGAGCGATGTTGCTCTCGTGCTTGTGCAGCTTCTACAATCTGAGGAATATCGGCAAGAGTAATGCCATCTTCAATTCCTCCGACAGGTTCATCCAGAGCTCCTCCGCTGGGTGACGTTGGTGCGGAATCATCGACGATCATGATGCCTGTGTTGCCGCGTGTATAAGGTGGTCGAATGACCTGGCCTGAAGGATTCGTATCAATGATCCCTGGAGGGCCGCGGGATTGCGGATGCGAGGGTTTCTGTAGTTTTGCTGGTGAGGCCGAACCAGGGCTTGCTCGGAACGAATGTGAATGCGTGAGTTCTTGTGGCCGTTGCGATTGTGTAGCGTCAGCAGGTTGAGCAACCTTTCCAGATGGACTTTCAACAACAGTGGATCGTTGTGGCACCCGTGCGGTTGCGGACAGTTTCCGATTCAAATGCACAGATTTCAACCTATTTATTTCACTTGAGCTTCGATAAGGGTCGTCCTCCAACTCCTTGTAGCCTTGAGACGCTGTTTTACGAAGTCAGTTCAAACATATCACTCGATCGAATACGACTTACCAGATGATTGCACAACACCACGCTTTTTCAATAAGACGTATAATCGTCGCAAAGCCACATTAAGGAGGAAGGCGTATTGTTCCAGGCGAGACACAGCTTGAAACCCTCCCCGGCATCCGGCATGTCCGTGCTCTGTACAGAAGATGACCGTCGGGACATTACCGAAGGAAGCTGTGTCCTTCATCGATTCCAGATCGTAGACAAATAGACCGACGTTGGCGGGAGGTCGTCGGGCAGTAGACAATTTGGGAGGATCTTTTTCCTTGTCCTTGTCATCGGGACTCTTCGGAGCGGAAGAATCCTTCGGAATCGGGATCGCAGCCACCTTCGCGCAGGTAGCACACTGAACGCAATGTGAATGCCAGCGTTGATATGTGCCTAACCGCACACAATCTTCTTCCACCGTTTGATTGCATTTCACACAAAGATCGGAAGGCGGATTAACGACATTCACCTTTGCCAGCGCTGGATCCCGGGGGTTGCTTACGAATGGTGACTCGCCCGCGTTCTCTGGAGCTAAGCTCTTGAAGCCGTAAGTAACACCTTGCGTCCCTTCATTCCCGTTTTCGAGAGGTGCCATAACTTCCCCATTGGCGCGTTTCATCATCCGCTTTGCACTTGGAGCTCCACCCTGAATGGCAAGCATATGCAACTTGTCGAGAAAAGAAGAAATCGCCTCGTGAACGTTATATTCCCTTTCTAGTCTGAGAGCGCCAGTAAGAGCAATCCGTATCAGGATCTTAAGGTAATGCGCCAAGCCGGTAACAAGCGCGAGGAGTTCCTGCGTCATACCCATGCGCCGCGCTCCTGTTTCTTGCGTGTGGGATAGAAGGGTGAAAAGGTCCACAGTCTTACGGCAGAGCATCCTTGCCTCGCGGACATGTGACATGCCTAGGTAAAATCAAAGAAATTACAAGTTGGCGTGAATAGCCTACGGTAATCAGAACAACAAGCGCACCTCTCATTTGTAGCCGCACAAAATGCCACTCCAGATCATCAATGGTAGCAAAAAGAACTTCAACATGAAGGATGAACTTCTCCGCCATCCGAATGGCCTCCAGATACTGTCCATTGCTAACTTGTCGTAACATGTCCGAAATGCACGCAGCGCTTGATTCTTCAAAAGCTGACAACACGCTAACGACGTATGTTAAGGACATACGTCCACACACGAAAGTTCACCACTTACGTCCAAATTCGGTACACCTGCTGTTCCATGCGGATTTGCTTGTCCTTGAGAGAGATAGCCGTTTCTTTCTGCTCTTCCTCAACCCATGGAGGGTCCTCAACTTTAGGCTCGACGTCCTCGGAGCTGGACAATGGCAAGGGTCTGCGTGACACAACTTTGACATTCCAGAACTTGACTAATATTAACACTAGGTATCGCCAACGCTCATTAAATGCTTACCTTGTTAATCATGTAACACTCCGGATGCCAGCATTCATCTCGCATATTCCGATTGATTTCCACGAATTGCTTCAAAATGGCGCTGTTGCATCCTGCGCACTTCGTGGCAAATCGGGTGGAGTAATGGTAGTGACAATATACATCCCCTTCATGTTCGTAGTATGAGTCCTGCGGCCCAAAAAGGGTTGGACAAACAGAACATGTGAAATGATCGACATGGTACTTTTTATCTGTCCAGATGATTGTTACCATGCACTTCCGGTCAATATACACTAACAAGACTTACTGCACGCCGTAATGTAACTACCTCGCAGGGCCATTCCACACTTTGCACAAATCAAGCTCAGCCGTCGAAAATAGTCACGTTCACATAGTGGATGCTGTTTCCCGTCAGGGCCATCGATTGGGAAGAACTTGGACGCAACTACGGTACCACAATCCTGGATTGTTTTTGTGAGAAAAGAGACATTCTAGAACAAGAGAAAAGACGAACCATGCATTTGAAGCATTGTAGGTGGTATACGGTGCCGAGAGCCCGTACGAACGCACCTTGCATGGCCTTCCCGCAGGCCGAGCATGGTCTAACGGAGCCATAACACGTAACGTAGAAACAGGGAGTTATTATGTCAATTTGATTAACATGACCCCGTAGAATGTGGTTGGGGACATATACTTACGTAGAAGTGATGCTGGCATTTGTGTGGGTAGTTGATGTCCCCGTGGGGGCACTACCACTCGGCGCGGACGCATCAGTGAGTAGAGAGGACTCAGAGTGCACGCTGCCCGGTCGCCCCTTGGAGTTATCCGAGTGGTCTGACCACGAAGGATTATTGCTCGTGCTGGCGGGTGTGGTCGGTCGGCTAGCAGTCAGGAAAGTCTGGGAACGAGAGGGCTGAGGATCGGATGGGGTAAGATCATTATGTACTCGAACCATAGAGTGGTTCAAGTCTTCGCTGCGGGCATGGGGAGGGTCATCACTCTTGGGTCTCCTCTGATCTATGCTGTGAGGAGAACTAAGTGTGGAAGACCTGTGCGGCAAGTTCACGCGCTCTGATAGATGACTGCTGGATGACTGAGAGATAGGGAAGATGCCATTCCGAGGTGAAGTGGAGATCGGCTCGCGGGATTTAGTGAGGTCGAGGTCCGAGGCCATGTAAGCCGGGGTTGAGGGATCAGTAGGAGAATGGGAGTCGCCAGATATCTGCTTAGACTGAGGAGCGTGGTCTGCAAAGTTACTCATGGATGTTGAAGTGCCCAGTTAGCTAGTCGCCAGGGTCACAGGGCAGGAAAACTGAAGCCAAGGCCGTCGTCCACAGCGAGCACGAGGGAGGGCAATAGCTACAGTGGAAACAGGCCAATTTGGCGTGACAAGAGTCACAAATGTGTTGTGTCACGTGCCTCAGTATACCAACTCCTTGGCGCTCTCCAGCTGCTCCAGCACCGCCGCCAACTGTTGCCGTTGTCGCCAAGTTGCTGCCGTCCTGTTCCGTTCTAAGCGACTCTATAGCCCTTTATCAATCGGCTACTGTAGTCTACACTTGTCAATGAGAGAGCCAATGACATCCCATCTCATAATCGCTCTTTAAAAATGTAAGTAACTTGTTCACGGCACCTGGTTTGAGAAAGCGAAATATATGGCAATGACAAGTATTATGCATATGGGTTGAACAGACTCGATAAGTTCACAGCGTCGCTGGCCTAATAAAGTTCGCTCAGCACTCGGGGTGGCCTTACGGCCGTCTTGGCGCATTAATGAGGTCAGATCGTAGCATTCAGCTACTTTCCAAATGCCCGAAGACTTCAAAGATTTACAAAGACCTGAAGTCTGTAACCTGATATTTACGACAGCTGACATCTAATTCTCATTTCACGAGGTAAGTAGCATTACATTGCAGCAGCTACGTCACATGGTTCGACAACACTGATACGAGCAGAGAATACACGAGTGCTTGAGATGGCCTAGGGTTACGAGATATTTGATGTTACAGCGTTGGCGACTCGTCTGCATTCAAAATTAAGGTGGTGAAAAACCTGATCATCTCCACTAAATTATCAACGATACAAGCTATAATGGTAATACGCACGGTTAAGCGACGATAGTTTTTATGGCAGGAAATCCACTTGCCTTCATTGATAGTGTGGACACCACTCAAACCAGTACCGTTTCCTGCAGCATAATGGGAGTAGCGGAAAATATGAGGTGTTAGTTTCCAGTAATATCGTGTGTCTATTTCACGCGTCATTTGCTCTGAGGTGACAACTTGTGATACGATTAAGACGTACCAGTATTACCAGAAACCAGACTAGGTATGACTGTGATACCATCTTCTGACAGCGAGCGATGAGAGTTATAGGTAGCTTTGATGGTTCCAGACAGCAGCTGGAATGGTGCAGCATCCTCGCTTACTGGAGTAATGGGTGCAGGATCGAGAGCTGTCCCCCAAGCGTCACTGAGTGACAAAGTGCCATATCCTGGTTCATCACCCGTGACGCTCAGACCGAACGCCGTGTAGGACAGATTGAAGTTAGCGGCAATAGACTTAAAGAGACCGGTCGCACGCTCTTTGACTTCGCTGACAGAGCTATCAAGCGCTGTTAGGACGCGTAAACCCTACAGTCTTGGGTGAGACATACCTATCCGTAGCAATACGATGGTTGATGACAGCCATTGCATTTTCGGGCAATGCATTTGACTTCACACCACCAGAAATTATGTCAATGGCTTGGGTGGTTTCGACGAGCGCCTTGAAGGTGGGATCCTTGAATAATTCCTCCTGAGCAGTATACAACGCTTTATCGGAAATAGCAGCCTTGCGCATCATTTTTTTCACTATTGTGGGAATCTCGGGAGCATGGGCTGCAAGGCATTCTGCGTGCCAATACATCGGAGTTTCACGCTTGAGCTGAGTAACAACTGGATTGTTCTCATAATGAACGAGCAGTTGTGCGAGCATGCCAATCGTCTGGTATAGGAGCTTTTTAGAAGTGCTCTGAAGATGGAACACCAAACCTACCGTGTGAGCAGGGGGAACACTAGAGTGTCCACCTGGAGCTGTTAGTTCCAGGCGCACATCTATATATCCTTTTTCGGCGACGGAGGGAACTGCGAAAACACCACCGTACTGCTCTGAGATCTTCCCTGGAGGTAAACTTGTTAATTCGTACACAAGTATTGAAAAGCGCATACCGCACCGCCTTCATCAATCAACATCGCAAATGCGTTTTCGCCGAACGTGCTCAAGAGGTAAGCTCCTAGAGAAGACGCACCCTATTCATTTCCACGATAAATTTAAGGACATGCATTATTACTGAAGTGGTCTTACGCACCCGGGTGCCACTCACTTCCTCATCGAACCCGAAAGCAAGCACGATACCACGGAGTGGCTGAAAATTTCGTTCAAGCATTAGTTCAATTGCAGACCTGTGCAAATCTTAGTCAGGGCGCGCTAGCCTTCGACATTGCGTACATTATACTGATCAAGCCGCTCTTGTCGTCTCTGCTGCCACGCCCCCACACAAGCTCCCCTGTGGGTGCAGGCTCAGCATCAGAGCAACGGTATGTTGGCTTGGTACACACCGTCGAAATAACCTGAGAATGGCGGATGCACCCAGTCATCATATGTATCAGGATTGACTGGGACGACATCTGTAACGAACGTAAGCATGTATGGGTCTGGAGGATGAGTGCACAACCCATACCCTGATGCGCAGTCAAAAGCAAGGGTTTCAGGCTCTCATCTGAGCCTTTCCAATGATACACTAGGCCATAGGTGTTCACCTTTGCGAGGTCTAGAGTGGAATGGCTGGGAAAAATCAATACTAATGCTTGAGATGACTTGAAAGTTTGATACAAACATTCGAGGGAATGCCCGGTCAAGGTACTTGTGGAATGGAGTAAAGGCTTCCCAACGTGGATCTTCGCCTATCGGACCCATTTGATCATAAGACTGTGTTCTGTGAAGCAGTCAGCGGCATATCTAGTTATACCAACAAATCCCACAAACTTACGGGATGCGCACAGCACCAGCCAGTAGATCAACGGCTCTCAGCCTGAAAGCATCAGTGCTAAAGGTTGAACTTAAGCTCTTCCATAGCACTTGATGTTTCTCTGGGCTCAACGGAGCAGGTTGAGGACACATTTGAGCGGCATCGACGGCTCCCGAGCCATGAATGCGGACTTGAAGGACATTGCTAGCGCGAGATAGACTGAAAATTGTGCAGAGAGCCAATGCTACGACGGCCCACTTGCGCCAGGACAATCGCGAAGCCTCGACTTGCTTCTTTTGGTCAAAGCTTATCGCGCTGGAGGGTAACCATTCGGCCTGTCCCTTCAACACCTTTGGGTCAGACATGGTTGGAACAGTTAGTTGAGAGTAGACGTCGGCTGTGTCAGCGAGCCCTTTTATTCTTGAGACACGAACCTCGGATATTCTGAGACGACACAACCATACGTTCCGAGATAGATAAGCAAGGCCCAGTCGCGAATCGCAACCAATCCTAATATGTTTCGACCCGTGTAAACCGAGGACTCAGAATTGGGTTATCTTGTCTTGGACTGATGACCTGTCATGATGGGCGGGTGCAGGACGAATAATAGAAAATTGTCTCGAGTCTGGAACATACTATCATTGCACCAGTAATGCAATCGCAACAGTAGTGCAATTACTGAACTTACAGCTGCTCCTCCCCCTCTATAAATCCCAATAAATCATGTATGATACAAAATACAATTATTATCACTATTGTGTAATTTTCGTATGAATGAAATATACGAGAGCAACTCGAGTGCCTCGCGAGTGTGTTTTGAGGACTACATCTCGACCAAGAGTGGCCTCGGGTGGGTGATCGCCATGTCCGATTGACATAATAGCTCACCACGGCTATGTAAAGAACATACACGCCTCTATTCTTATTTCTCCGGAATAATCTGCATAGTGAACCCCTCCTGAATCCTGTGTCAAAAGGTAGCGACTCAATCCTGTGACATTTAGCCACAATCGGCGTCGTGAATCTTGACTCAGCTGATGGTAGTGGTGGCGTACTTCGCATAACTTCGCAGTCCAGCCACTGAACGCTGGGCGGACAAAGAAAACGGCATGTGCGGCATTGTGACGGTCGACGTGACATGCCTCGGAGAAAAGTTGCACTGCTGTTGCGATTTTGTTTTGCTCTCGGTATTGCTCAATTCCGGACATACTGAGCCTATGAAATTCACGTATGTACTTTCAAACATTCTGCATCAACTGGAGAAAACTCCGAGATGTTCCGGTAAAATGTGCGCTATAGGAAGCCCAGATACTGAAAAAGTTGCATTACTGGTGCAATGATAGTAGTGGCATATAATTTCAAGTACATTTTTATCATGCTGAGCCGCTCTGCCAGATAGACCCAGTGAGATACATAATTCGATTCTCGATGCGGCATTCGGCGCCGAGTCCACGGTCCTCGTATCGTGTCGGAAGCGCTCTGTCGCTGCAAATTCAGACCTGAGATAACGCAGTCTGCTAGCAGTAGGGCAAGGAGAATTTGGGAGTGTAAATTTACAGCGTGTTAATTTACCTATAAATTAGCGGTAATTTACAGGGGTGGCCAAAACATGGTGTAAATTACGGTTGATCTGGAATGAGCGCCCGTATCAGCGTGAGACTGCATGATCTAGCTGGAAAGTCAATGATAAGTGTTGATACGGGTGATGGTCAAGAGCAAAGAGCGAGAAATGATTATTA